AATTTTTCTCGGGGAACTGAAACGCACTACTAGTACCTGCACGTGTTCCAAAAAATCTCAAATTAGGCTCAGGGCCCCTTTCGGCCCAAATCGCAACTCCGGCATGGCGGCTCCGCCGTGCTCCGGCAACCGGCGGCGATTCGCCTCGGGTTGGCTGTTTTCAGCCGTTTCCGGCCGAATTCGGCCACACTCGCATCGGTCCCTGCGAGAAAAAAACCCTAGGGCCCTCGGGGGGCCAAAAAATCACGGAAAAACGGAGCTTACCGGCGGCGGCGCTCTCGGGTGCGGCGGCTCTCCGGCGAGGTTCGTGTTTTGGTGATTCGGCTCCGGTCAACCTATAGAGAAAAGAATGGTGATCACGGTGATATAAAAATTGCATCAAACGGAGGCCGGGAAGGACCTCATCGGAGGCAAAAACCGAGAAGGGGCGCGACAGCGCCGCTGGGCTTCGGCTGTGTATCCCGGCCGTTTTACCGGGATTTTGGCTCTGATTTGGCCACAGGAGGAATCAGCGTGGAAAAACGAGTTGGAGGTACGAAATTTACCTCGAACGGCAGTCGAAAATTCCTCCGGTGCGGCGGCGGGTGGCGGCGGCCGGCTTCTGGTTCGTCTTCTCCGGCGAGCTGCAGGCGGTTAGGGTTTGTGGTCTGGTGTAGGGGTTCTATTTATAACCCTTTGCCTTTTGATCTCAGCCGTCCATTTTATTTTAATCTGGGCCGTCTGTTTTTGATTAAATCTGGGCTGTCCGTGCGTTTAAATCTGGGCCGTCCGATCGCACGCTTGATCTGGGCCGTCCGATTGCGCCTACGCGGATCGCCAACGTGGCCCTTTTTGGAATGACGTGGTCTTGCCACGTGGCAGGTCCCGGTTGGCCGGGACTGCTGACCGGGCCTGCTGACGTGGCTTTTTTTTTTTTTTTTTTTCCGGCCTCTTTCTGGGCGCTACAGAAAATGTCAAGTTTTGTTATCAAATAAAAGCTAAAACAACACGAATCTTCAACCACTTGCCTGTTACGATTAAAAAATAAATCAAATAATTTCACAAAATTTATTTCATAATTCAAATTGTTTAGGTAAAAGAGAATTTATTAGTCCAACAATCCTTGAAATTCCATGTCAATTAATTTTTATAATTTTCAAATAAATTTTGTTATCGCTCCTAATTAAACTATGCTTTATATATGGAGCAAGTTAAAGGAGTTTTTTTTTTTTTTTGGATTTCTAATTCTTTCCGTCAAAAATTTTAATTTATGAATTTTTTAAAGAAATTTTATGAAAAACTTTAAATTTGTTTCAAACACTTTTTCTTAAAGAGTAATAAAGTAAATTACTATTTTGTGTCGTTTAAGATGAATAATCAAGTAAAATTAAAAACTAATAAAATAAATACAGAAGGAAAAGAACAATGCTAACAATACTAATAATAATAACGAGACAACTATTATTATAAGTAAATTTATGTACTCATCTCCACTACCTTATTTATAATTTTTTAATATTATTTTTATACATTTTTTATATTTTTATTGAATAAATACGATGAGTCGACTTTTGTTTAAAATAAAAAAAAAATTATGATGTAACGGCCTCGGAATTTTAAAATTAAATATCTGTGTTAAAAAGGTCAAATGCAGAAGCGTAATAAAAATCTTGATTAACATCCCTTACACTAAAACGAAAAACGTGCTCAAAGTATAAAAGAACAAACTAACTAAAAGAGAAACTCGAAAATGAAAGCTATAAATATAACTACGGAATTTTCAGGCGTCCCCTTCGCCGTCTTCCTACGGAACGGGCTCGGGAAAAATGTCTTCCTGATCTAAAATTATTAAATAAGGAATGAGCTACACCAGCCCAGTAAAGACATCACATTATCTCACCGTCACGGAGGTAAATGTGGGTAGAAAATACAAAAAGACCAATGGAGCATAATTTACAACAAATTCTTTTATCAATAATAAAATTCTTTATTATCCACTTACCTCGGTGAAATTCATAAAACAACATACGAAAGCAATAACATTATCATCATCATGAAATCATATGAACTGTATAACATAATGTTTATCACGCCTTTTGCAATTCAATCATTACACAACATATTTTTCCTCATTTAACAGCCTACTAGTATCCATGGGGATCCATAGGGGTCCCGCTACCTGTGAACCCTTAACACTTGTAATCAGATTCCAGGGCCGTCCCCATACCCCCTCCGGTATGGGCGCCAAAACTATAAACCTCAATACCCCGTCCGGTATGAGGGTGAAACGGGCTGTCCCCATACCCCGTCTGGTATGAGCGCCAAAACACATAAGGTCTCCATACCCCGTCCGGTATGAGAGACCACAATCCCGGTAGGGTTCCCTACGGACCCGGTCCGTCCACCATCTCCCAGGATATCTAGTCAGGCTGACCACATTATACAATTATCAATTTACATAACCTTTCATTCCCCTTTTCCTCAGTCACCATCATCAATTCACACACAAACAAGCAAACCAGTAATTTATGCCAAACAAGACAACATACAACATCGGGTTCTCAGTCATTCAACCCATAATCAATAAAACAGTGATATATGCATATGAAACTATGAAATAAAAACATCATACCCCATACTGCATTTAAAACTGTAAAATAGGCCAAACAACAGCTGACCGACAAACACACCAGACTCGGGCTCCATTAGCGACCTTAAATAATTTCACACATCGATTGATTCATGAAATACCGTTTTATCATTTATTGAACTTTAATACCGTGATAGAAAATAAGGTGAGGGGTCCTTACTTGTTTCGGGGTCTGAATACGGTTCTACAGTGTGCCTACAGGCTGTCCCTAATTTTCCCTGAATTTTTTTCGGGGAACTGAAACGCACTACTGGTACCTGCATGTGTCCCAAAAATTCCAAATTAGACCCAGGGCCCCTTTTGGCCAATATCGCAATTTCGGCACGGCGGCTCCGCCGTGCTCCGGCGACGGCGATTCGCCTCGGGTTGGCCGTTTTTGACCGTTTCCGGCCGAATTTGGCCACACTTGCATCGGTCCCTGGGATAAAACAACCCTAGGGCCCTCGGGGGGCAAAAAAATTACGAAAAATCGAAGCTTACCGGCGGCGGTGCTCTCGGGTGCGGCGGCTCTCCGACGAGGTTCGTGTTTTGGTGATTTGGCTCCAATCAACCTGTAAAGAAAAGAATGGTGATCACAGTGATATAAAAATTGTATCAAACGGAGGCCGGAAAGGGCCTCATCGGAGGCAAAAACTGAGGAGGGGCGTGGCGACGCCGTTGGGTTTAGG